GAATAATACCCGAACCGAACCGAACCCGTATTGCTTATTTGGTTCGGTTTTCAGTTCATACAATTACCCTTATTCGGTTTTCGGTTTATTCAGGTTCGGGTACGTTCGATTCGGTTCCGACCCGAATAGCATCCCTAATCACAAGGGTGACCTACGAAAATCCGATTTTTTTTTACAGTCGACCTAGATTTTCACAGACTTTGACCCTATTAAAATATGAAATAATACAAATTATAAGACTTTTTATCTATAAAATAAGAAAAAGAAAAAAACATTGTGTTAATGATCCATGACGAACCACATCATTTGATAAAAACTGGTTGGAACTTGTTTTGTTGGGAAACAAACATTTTATAATTATAATACTATGTGAATATATTTTAGGTTAATTCTATACGTACCCCTAATTGCTTGGTGCACCTTTCTATATGAGTGAGTGAGTGTGTTTGTACCCTGTCATTTGATTTTCTATATAGGGGATACATATAGTAACATCTATATTTTATTGTTAAGAAAAGAATCAAAACCTTTATCGGAATTTACAAAAAATCCATGCAATTGAATATAATCCTAAACTTTATCATGTCAAACAAAATTTAGATAACAAAACCTTTATGTATCAATCAAAAAGATTTGTATGTTTTTGTTTTTTAAAAGATATATGCATTAAAACACTAGTAAGAAGTTAGAATGAGACTACGAAAGCAAAAAAAAAAAAACTACAAGCACTAAAAGGAGAAACAACTCACTTAAACCAACAAATAAAATTGAAAGGAGATTTATGCTTAACCGAGTTGAAAACAGTTAACCGAATATTATTCGACGTCTTAAGATAAAAGTATCTTTTCATGTTGAACACCAAGTTATTGCGTGCCTTCCATAAGCTCCAGACCATCGGAAACAATAAAGTCGATTGAAACAACCTTTTTTTTTTTTTAATCTTGAATCGGAGCCTTCAACACAATACTCATCTTTATTGCAAGGAGAGGACATCAATCGCACCAACTAATTTTAAAGATAGTCAGCCAAGTACCCGTAATACCACATCTAGCTAAAAGCTTCCCGTCAATACATTTTAAACCGCAATCCCACTCCTCAAGCTCATCAATAATTTTAACAGTTATTTGACTAATCTAGATATAAATAATTCAATACGTACATATGCTACATTCAAATAAGGAAAACTAAAGGTTTAGTTAGAACGTAAGAAATTACACATATAAAAATCATCCAGAATATATTTATTTGAAGATTAATATGTATCTTATTTAGTTTTAATTAACTGAGTTTGTAACTATTAATTTTTCATTATATTTAGTCATTACATATAAGAAATTACTAAATTATATAGTTTAAAATATAGAAAAATCCATAAAAATTTGCCTTTTTTCCGGTTTAAGCATGTAAACAACTTTTTCCAAGTTTAACCACGGAAAGTTTTAGTTTTCATAAAAACCACTACATAAAATATTAGATTTTGTAAAAATCATTACGGTTTAAAATTTGTTCGCTTTAACCCACAATAATAATAATAATTATTATTATTATTATTATTATTATTATTATTATTGTTGTTGTTGTTGTTGTTATTATCTTTATGATTTAACCATTGAAATATTTTTTTTCTTCTAAAATAACCATCTTTAACAAAAAAAATTGTTACGATTGGTGTCTGCTACTCAATACCCTTAGGGAATGTTCGTTAAAACTAGCTTGTAACGGGTAGCGTTTGATTTTGAAGCGTTTTAGCTTCTCCATATAGCTTTTGATTTTGTAGCGTTTTGTTTAGGTTAAAAGCTAAATGTTCCTGTCGGCAAACGACACTTTTTTTTTTTACGAGCATTTGTTAAAAGCTTGAAATCAGAAGTTTTCAAACGATGGTGCCGAACACAACCTAAATTTGAAAAAATTCTTCCAATGATTAAATGAAAGAAAAAATCAAATGTTTTTATGAAATTTTCCAAATAAACTTTTGGACAAAAACTAAAAAAGTTAACTAGAAGATCGTTGACATTTTGATTTTTGTTTTATACTTCATTATCAAAATTAAATAGTGAAAATCTTCCAAAAGGTGGACGCTAAAATCTTCCAAAGGTAGGACACTTGACAGTTCCCACCGCTCCAATTGTATATAAATACACACACCAAACGAAGGAAAGTGTGTGCTCCGAAAACCAATTCTTCCTTCTTCCCTCTAATCACACACATTTGTGTGTGTAATTTCTCAAAACCCACCTCCATTTCCCTTCAATTTCACGATGGGAAGTGATCAAAAGATGATGATGAAGGTCAATATAAAGAAATCATCCATCATTCCTCCTTCAGAACCCATTGCAGACTGTCCTAAGCAGCTATGGACCTCCAATTTGGACTTGGTTGTGGGTAGAATCCATATTCTAACTGTTTATTTCTACAGACCAAATGGATCTGCGAATTTCTTCGATCCAAACGCTATGAAAAAGGCGCTCGCCGATGTGCTCGTCTCGTTCTATCCGATGGCAGGGCGATTGGATAGAGATGAGAGCGGCAGAATCGTAATTAATTGTAACGGCGAGGGAGTTCTGTTCGTAGAAGCGGAGTCCGATTCCACCTTGGATGACTTTGGCGAGTTCACGCCATCACCGGAATTCCGCAGTCTTACTCCGACTGTTGACTACTCCGGCGACATTTCTTCCTATCCGCTATTTTTCGCACAGGTAAATCATACATCCCCTAATTACCTCAGATTTCTTTGCAGCAGTAAACATAATTCGCCCTAAAACATGTCCAGATTCGTTATTCATGGCTGAAATAGTCTAAATGATATAGATCTATCAAAACTTTAGAGGATACACAGCGAATAAATCTAGCCTTTCACATGCATTTGCAACTTTGCATTGAATTTCAAAACCCCCTTAGTAACAGTTTCAACAGATGCATAGTTTGATAATCATATTAATCGAGAAAAACAATTTATTTCAAGCAATTTCATCACAAAAAAATTGAAAAAATGTTTTGGATTCGTACTATTTGCTTTGCTACTACGTCACGACTGAGACCCATATAAATTTCTGTCATGAGGCTGCCATGGACTAACACATTCATAACTCTATTTCAGTATGTGGGTCCTGAAGGGTTTATTATTGTTGTATGAATGCTCATAATTTATAAAGTTTTCAAACACCCCCTAATTGAATTCATATCTCGTGTTTTATTTGCTTTCCCAGGAAATCAAATTGCTTTACCACTAATAATGCACATAGTACATGTCACAATGCAACAAGAAACTTGTATATGGGAACAAGGGTCAAAATAGGGTCATAAAATAATAATATAGTCCAAATTGTTCTTTTCTCCATTGGTATAATCCATGTGCTTAACTGCCCAAGACCATGGATCTTAACATGTGCTGTAACTTTATTTGAAGCAAAAAGTTACAAAATATATATTAATCTGTTTGGGTGAATTCAAAAAGTTTGAAGCTATTTATGAATTTATTCTAATGTATATGTGAAAAGTATTCGGGAGTAGTTTAAAGTAGTAACATTTAATTGGATAGCCATCTTTATCAATTAGATAAACAACCAAAACTACTATTTTAAATGCTTTTTTGTAATCTTTGACTTTAAATTTTGTTTCATTTGCTTAAATTAATTTAATTTTTTTTCCAGGTAACACATTTTAAATGCGGAGGAGTTGCTCTCGGTTGTGGTGTATTTCACACGCTCTCAGACGGTCTATCGTCCCTCCATTTCATCAACACATGGTCTGACATGGCCCGCGGGCTCTCAGTAGCCATACCTCCGTTCATTGAACGGACACTGCTAAAAGCCCGCGAGCCACCAACCCTAACATACGACCATGTAGAATACCACAAACCGCCTTCGATGAGCCCGACTGCTCAAAAACGAGGTGCGGGCTCATCCACCACCATGCTAAAGCTAACCCTAGACCAACTCAACACTCTCAAACTCAAAGCCAAGAGCAACGGCGGTCAAACTCATAGCACGTACGAAATCCTAGCCGCTCACATATGGCGGTGCGCGTGCAAGGCCCGTGGGCTCCCAAACGACCAATTAACCAAACTGTATGTAGCCACAGACGGGAGGTCGAGACTCAGTCCCCGCCTCCCGCCGGGCTACCTTGGCAACGTGGTGTTCACTGCCACCCCCGTTGCCAAATCAGGTGATCTTACATCGGGATCATTGTCGAACACTGCAAAACTTATTCATGCCACACTGACGAAAATGGATGATGATTATTTGAGATCGGCGATTGATTATTTGGAGTCGCAAAAAGATATCTCGGCCCTGATTCGTGGCCCGAGTTACTTTGCGAACCCGAATTTGAATATCAACGCGTGGACCAGGTTACCGGTCCACGACGCTGATTTCGGGTGGGGCCGACCGATTTTTATGGGACCCGCGTGCATTTTATATGAGGGAACTGTGTATGTTTTACCGAGCCCGAATAACGATAGAAGTGTGTCATTAGCGGTGTGTTTAGATGCAAATGAGCAGCCACTTTTTGAGAAGTTTTTGTATGAATTGTAAGGTTTTGTGACCATACAAAATCTTGGCAATTTGTTTGTTTGTGTTTTTTTTTCTATTTTATTTGTTCTTTTTTTATGTAATAATAAAATGTAATGGCAGTCCATGTGAATGAAAAGCCTGGTTGAGGGTTTTTGTACATGAAAAATGTTTGACTTTGTGTATAATTTTGAAGTCAGGAGCTTCATGATGTAAATGAGGTATAAAAAGTATGTTAGATAATCGTCTACATCATTGTATTGCGATATATATAGACCCGCATATCACATGAGCTATTTGATTGTTGAAATATATCTAATTATTAGATCATTTACTAAAGGTTCTATTATCATCCTAAATCCTACAAGCTTAATAATTAAGAAATTTGACTAATATAAAAGCATGTTTTATTTTAGAGAGCTTTATTTTGGAGAAAATTGTGTTATCTTGTTATCCGGATTGGATAACGATTTATTTGTAAATCTTGCTTATGAATTTATATTTCATTTCTCAAAGACTATCTCAAAAGCGTAGATTTAAATAATTGATTAAAATCTTATGCTAAAAACCAGGCATGAACAAAAAAACCGGTTCAAGATCCGAACCTGTCAAAGAACCGGTAAACCGGTTTACGCTGAACCGGTCCACAGTGAACCGAACCGGTTTGAGAACCGAACCACCGGTTTACACCCGTTCGAGATTTTAGTCGTTGAAACTGGTTTAGAACCGGTTTATATTATGTGAACCGGTTTGGAATCGGTATGGAACCGAACCGAACCGGTGTAACCGGTTTAGATAGGTTCGACTAATTTTTTGAGTGAACCGGTTTGAGGCTGAACCGGTTTTGCTTGGCTAGGGAGTGAACCGAACCGGTTTAAAGAACCGGTTCGATTTGAAAAATGAACCGGTTTGTGCATGCCTACTAAAAACTATTGATAAAAATAGACAATAGAGAAATAAATTATGATAGCCCATTAACCAAAGAGTTTACAATTATGGGCTAATTGGGCTGTGTTTATGTTTTGAACTATTATAATACCGATAGGCAATAGTATAAGTGCAAATGAGCCGAATTGATCTGTTTTAATTTTTTTAATATTTGGATTGTATAAAAGTGGATTTGGGCTATTTGGATATTGGACAACGGACCAAATTATGTTTGAAAGTTGAAACTTAATGATTACATATATTTGAATTTAGATACTACAACCTAGATCTTTGAATTATTTGGATCAGATATATGATTTTAGTATTATTTTTTTAAAATTAAATTTAGGGTTAATTCAAAAAAGAACTAATTTTTTTTTACCTTTGCACTTGCACATGACAATTTTTTTTTCATAACACGAATACGACAAGACGCGATCAATTTTTTTAGTTGACAAGAACACGACCTAATTAAAAAACGACAAACACGAATCATACTCACGCTTAAGAGTTTCTTATAAAGATAAGTTTAATAGCTAAATAAGGTTTAAGACATAAAAATGGTACTAAATGTCTTCAAACTTATGACATAAAAAGAAACTTCATTCAAACGTATGCATCCAGCTATTCATATTCTTGCTATCCAATTTCATAATGTTGTTGGTAAGTTTCTATAAACACAACTCTTCGTCACTTACAATACAATAAACACAGATATAAACATATTAAAATTAGTTAAACACCAAAATATATATTTTCAGCAATAGAAGAAAAAACATTATTATTTTTAATTCCAAACAATGAATTCATGAAATTCCTTTTTCAGATCAACACCCTTAAATACAATGGAATAAAATACAATGGCATAAAAATCAATAAAATACAGAAATACATGAGGAGCCACAATTATTAATAATATGGATGATAGTGAGTGGAAAATCGTCGTCCATATCACAGTCGTTCAAACTCTTGAAAGTTTTAATCTCAGCAGCTTAAGCTCAATATTTACGGTTGCCAATCGGTTTCCAAGGACCCTCCTCCTTCTCCAGCTTCTTCTCACCCACGTTCACAGTCGGTTGTATCAATCGGTTTTCAGCCTCCTTTTTTCCTTCTTTTTCGACCACTCTTGTTGTTATATATTACGATCACCTCTTCCAAACGTCAGTTCTTTTCTACTTACTTTCCCTCTCTCTCTATGTGGGTTGATTATTAACTATTTTATTAGATTTATTGCAGATGAAGAAGATGCGAAATTAATGGTGTCGGATGCAGGGTTCAAGTGATCATCTGCTCTGTTTCCATCAAGAAACTCACCAAGAGTTATTCCTAAAAGCATCAGGTCCCTTGATTCACTCCTACCGGGTTACCACCATACGACGCCAGCTCTTCATAGAGGTAACATACACAACTCTCTCTCATTCTCTGCGTGTGTGTCTGTATGTTAAAGCTACAAGAAATGGTTTTCAAGACACAATCAAGGTTTACTTTCCCTGTTTATTTAACAAAACTTCAATTAACTCAATCAAGGTTTACTTTCCGTGTTTATTTATCATTAACTAGGTGTGAGACCCATGTATTACATGGGTTTATTTTAAAAAAATAAATATGAAATTTTAACAATTTGAAAAGTTTGAATTTATAAGAAAAATAAGAAAAATTTTGAATTATTAAAATTAATGAGGCTTTAATATATTGAATACATTACATATATAAATCCTTTCTAATAAATACCTTACATATATATTACCTTACATATTAAATGTGGAATTTTAATTTAATAAAATAAAAAATACAATAAAATGACAAGTGGAAAATAGAAAATTCAAAAGTTCTAGAAAATGTCATGTGTCCAAATGAATGAGAAGAGAACATGTGAGAAAAAGTTTTTTATTTATTAGGGAGGATTATGTGTATTATTTATGAAATTATTTGTTTTATGGTTTATCATTTGTGTAATTGTTGATTAATTCGGTTTATTTTAGGTTTAGGGATGATCTTATGCTTTATCATTTATGAAATTGTGATTATGGTTTTTGGTTTCACAGGCTCACAAGCTCGATTTTGGTTTTTGCTCGCCATTATCGCCCACCAACCCTAAGCTTTTACAGGTTCCATGTTTCTTTATTTTCACTCACTCTTTCGTTCCTTGGTTTTGAGATATTTTTGAGGCTTTTTGTTTGTATAAAAGAAGCTCGCAGACAAAGGCTTGCAGTGTCATCATTAAATTTTCCTAATTGTGACTTAGGTCTTGCTTCTTCCTACAACGTGAGTCCTCCATCATGTTTATTTAATTTTCCTACACATTATCTGATTCTATATGTATATGTTAGTTTCTTTTGATCAATGCTCTTGATATTATTGTTATTTTACGTACATATATTGTTGTAAAATGTCTTTGACTTCAAGAAAAGTGCTACATTTTATAGAAATTGATATAAATTACTTTAATCAGACTAATGTTGGATGTTTTTTACACACTTCACAGAGTTTGTATCATGTTTTCTTTGAGGAATGTTAGGTTTGACGTTAGGACACTGTACAACTAGTTTGTGGATGAAAGAAGTATTTTAGTTCTGTTTATTACTTGATATTCTTTCATTCTTTCTTCTTCTTTTTTTCAACCAGGATTACGAAAAATGCCATGTTACTGTTACTGAGGAGTCATTAACTACAGAAGACCTTTTCCCTTTAGAAATTGCCAAGGTTTGCTTCTGAATCCCAGTGCATTTCTACTTTCTATAATTCAGTATGATATTTTCAGAATTATTTTGCAATTTGCACATAAAAGGGCTATTCATTAATGAGAATCTATGCATATAATGAAGCCTAGACATGTACAGGCGACAAGTATTCGAGGGATGCTTGGAATGTTCCAAAATGTATGTATTTCTGTCATCTTAATCTGTAGAGAACTACTTTAGCCAAGTCGATTTCATATATTTTTTTTGTAAATCGTACATTTTATATGTTAATATATTATAAAAAACTTTCTAATTCTTTTTTCTAGAACACTAGGAATGGGATGCTTTGGTGCTATCTACATTTGCATCAGAGCAACAACTGCATACAACAAGTCAGGAACTTGGTTATTGTTTATACCAGGTACCAGTAATAACTCCTCTATGTTGATAGTGTAAGGTTAGGTTGAAGGGCATATTGGTCTTTTATTGACAGCATAATTCAGCTTATCTAGTAATTCCAAGATTAAAGAAAGAATTAGATGAAGCCAGAACAATGTTAGCACATTTAGATAAGCAAGCACACCCTTGCCAACATGAATAGAAATAACATCAAATACCTTTGTTGCAATCAATGGGAAAAGTGGTTTCTTTTTTCTTTCTTTCCTTTCATGCTCTTAAGATTATAAAAATAGTTTTCAATGGGGTTTGCTATGTTATATTTTTTTATGGATTTGTATGTTGTTGAGATGCAAATTCATATAAAGAAAGGTTCAATGAAAGAAACATCCATGGAATCCTCATTTCCATTCCATTCTAAGGTCTATTTTACTCGAATCACAGTCTTATCATTCCAATCAATTGTTATAAAATGTGTGCTTGATCAGAGTTAAAACTTTTATATTGTTTCCTTGAAAAATATAATGTATAAAGTAGATTTATTTAAGAGGTGTCCATCTAACTTGTGCTTTCTCTTTATGTCCAGTTTGTTACCACTCAATATTATGCTTATGAACTACTCAGAGTTACTTAAATACCATCCTAACAAAGAAATAGATGTCAAACTAGGGGATGAAGAAGTTATAAGGTTGTTATCTTGTATTTTCTGTTTCTCTCTGTTTAGGATTTTAATTGGCCTGATTTCACCATTTAGATGCTAAATGTTTTTTTTTACTTTCTCACAATAATCTTTGAATTATGATAAATTCATTTGTGTTTCCTACTTTCTAAATGTTCATTTTTAAGTTTGGTTTCTCTGTGTGTTGTTTTTGCAGCAAAAATGCATGAGAAAGGAGGAAATGGAGGTCTTATATGCTTATTTCATTTGTGTTTCCTAGATGTTTCATATATCCTGTAAACTCAAATCTCCAATTAGATAAATAATATATTTCATCACCAAAACTTACATCTTGAATGTGGTGTATAAACTGTAACACCCATAAAATTCGATCCAATTTAAAACTTTTAAAAACATTTAAAACCATTAAGTTATTACAGTTTGTTTTCAAAATAGTTTAAACATCAGAGTATCCCCAGAATGCAATCATGAAAATATAAGGAGGTGCACGATCACGCCTTCGCCTTCCCGCGATCATCAGAAATACCTGGAACAATAAT